TAGCTGTGAGGTAATCTATTTCACAGGTTAAATGATCAAGAGTAGACTTTTGAAAATGTGTCAAACAATCCAACGGTCTTCAGAATCCAGAATATATTGCTACTGAAGGAATCCTGAAGCTATTGTGTTATTGCCAATGCATTGGTCATGACTAATGAGCAATAATAATACTGATTTAATGATTCCAGTAGTCACTTTGAATGTGATAGATTGAAAAAGACCCATGAGAGAAGGAAGCTACAGGTTGGTTAAATCTGAAAACTGCTTCTGATATGCTCTTTCATGTGTGATATGTGCACACATATTAACCTGTTTGCAGTGTAGAAAGTAATTCTCTTTATGTTGTACTTGTAATCTTTGAGATCCAAGATTTCACCAATCAAGGGTCACTGATAGGAGCCAAAAGCATGATTTTGTAATAGTATCATTAGGTCAAATAAATTACATGGCTTGACTTTTCCATCCTAAAATCCTTGTAAAGACAATAATCTTTCCTTTTCTCCAGGCCCATTTCTCCCAGTTTTCCACGCAGTCTGAGAGGAAGTCAGGAGCCAGGAATGAGAAACTATACAGCAGTAACCACCTTTATCCTCCTGGGGTTAACAGATGACCCCCAACTGAACATTTTGACTTTCATACTTCTATTCATCGCCTACCTGCTGAGCGTAACAGGGAACATGACCATCATCCTTCACGTGTTAGTGGATAACCACCTTAAGACGGCCATGTACTATTTTCTCCAAAATTTTTCCTTCTTAGAAATTTCATACACTTCTGCCTGCATTGTTAGGTTCTTATACAGTCTATCAACAGGAGATAGGGCCATCACCTATAACGCTTGTGCAAGCCAAGTATTTTTTATATATATATTTGCCATAGTACAGTATTTTCTCCTGACTGTCATGTCCTATGACCGGTACGTGGCCATCTGCAAACCCCTGCACTATGTGACCATCATGAACCGCAGGGTCTGCAAAATGCTTGTTTTCTGCTGTTGGGTGACTGCTTTGCTGTTGGTAGTACCACTGTTTATTTTGTTACTGGGCCTGGAATTCTGTGACTCAAATGCCATCGACCACTTTGGCTGTGATGCTCATCCTCTGATGAAGATCTCATGCTCAGATACTGGGCTCCTAGAGCAGATGCTCATTATCTGTTCTGTTATGATCTTCATCCTGACTCTCATGTGTGTGGTTTTGTCCTACATTTATATCGTCAGAACAATCCTGAGGTTCCCGTCAGCCCAGCAAAGGAAGAAGGCGTTTTCCACCTGCTCCTCCCACATGATTGTGCTTTCTCTCTCCTACGGCAGCTGCATCTTTATCTATACCAAACCTTCAGCAAAGGATGACTTGGCCATGAATAAAAGAATTTCACTGTTGAACACTTCTGTCTCCCCCATGTTGAACCCGTTTATTTACACTCTGAGGAACAAACAAGTCATACAAGCTGTTAAGGACTTAATGACAAAATGGTACCCCTCTTAAGGAATTAGAGAATTATTGAAGTAGTGGTACACAATAATATTTATGTTTTTGTTTTTGATCTAAATTTCTCCTTCTTTTAAATACAAACTGTGAACAAGTTACGCTGTACTTCTTCTTACATACTATCCTCTCTCGTTTTTGAAAAATGCAACATGACAAGGTGTTTAAGGGTCAGCAATAAACTGAATATGTCTGTATCTTGCTTTATCTACTTAAATGAATAGATACATATCTGCTTTGACAATGATGTTGAGAACAATATTATGATCATAGAGTATGTTTGTAACTTGCAAACTGGCAAATATCTTAGTACTGGTAAAATATTTTACCAATATTTTATTGTAATGGTAAAATATTGTAAACTATTAGATTGGTAAACTATTGTATTGTTAAACTATTTTACCAAAACAAGTTTCTGACAGTTTGAAGATTTCAGACCATTTTATCTAGTTTAACACATTTATATATACTATATAAAATTTTGTTGTTTTCGTCCAGAATTTTTAGAGTTAGTAATGAATATTTTTTAAGAGGAAGGTAAGCTTTATAATATAAATATAAGGGTGAATTCTTTCTGTGCTCAGAGAACACAGAACCTTAATGTATGTATGAAAGAGTAGTTTTGAACTGTCGATCATTTTAGTCAACTTCAGTAATCAAACACAAGTGGCGAAACTTCAAAGGAGTATTTTTTCGTAGACTAAAGATGTTATAATCAACATTTCCTTAAACTCATGCCTGGGAGAGGTGTACTTTGAAATCTTCC